TAAAAAGAGCCACACAGCACAGCAGACACATATAAACACAATCCAATAATCCTGTGCTTAAACACAGAAACTGTGTGGAAGTTTAAACTCTTGTTAGAAGGAAAAAGTTCTCTCTTTTTTTTTTTCTGTTTATTGTTTGTTGGATTTTAGTTATAATTCACCTTTAAAGCATTTGTTACTGCTATGCTAATACCAGCTGTTAAGTTCTCAAAGTGAATTGCCATCTTGATTATAAAATAGGGTTCTGGGGAAAGGAGAGATCTGAGCACGGTGAATTTTCTAGCAAGAAACAAGTAATTTTTTTGCTCTTAAAAAATCAAACTTGTAAGGGAATAAATGTTGAAATCCATGGAAGAAAAAAACGTATGGCCCTCAGTCCCAGTAACAGGTCTTCTTTGGCACTTGAGAACGACCACAAGTAGTTTGCCTTTTTATTCATATAGAACAAAATTTACAAAGTCATTCATACATTTTTGTTTGCTTTTTTTTTTTTTTTTGTTTTGTTTTTTACTTACTTCGAAAATTGGGAATATTCAAAATACACTTTTACCCCACTTCATTCTTTCATTATTTACAAGTATATACAAGAAAAATGTAAGAGTTTATTTTCCTTTTTTTTTGTTGTTTATTTTTTTTTTTTTTTAATTTTAAATTTTGTATTAAAAAGCTCTGCTGGTTGTTTTACTGTTTGTTTTCATCATATGGATGTTCCATGTGAGGGCTCCATTGCTTCTGGAATGACTCCCCCCGGCACAGACTGGAATGACATTGGGATTGGGGTTTTCACGGGACTCTGACGAAATAGTCCTCCATTTGGTGACCTGTGTTTACACTGTATGGAGGGCATGGTGGCTGAGCTGCTCAGGGGCAGTGGCAGGTTGCTGCCAGAGGCAGCTGTGAGTGTCCTGCTGGCACCATGAGTTGTCTGTTCTGGTAAAAAGGTGGTGACAGAAAGTTGCGTGTTCTGGTATTCGCGTACCGGCTCCAGGGTCTGAGCTGGCTGCATGCCACCAATCTCCAAGGCTGAGATTTCAATGGATGCTGGAGAGATTTGCTTGTGTGCTATGTCTTCATCAATTAAACTGTTCATGCGTCTATGGACCTGCTCCAGATTCACTTCTTTGTCCTAGTAAGGAAGAAACCAGAACAATCAGTCCAAACACAATCTCCAATCCCATCTGGCCCCCCCTTCGTTTCCTTTGTGTCACTGGAGTTGCTGATCTCTCATGACATCACTTTGCTTTCACCTGTGCCTATGACAAACCTCGATGTTCACCCAGCATCTCCAGCTGAGAAACATGCTAAAGAAAACACCAACTCAATCTCAGCCTGCAGAAGCCCCTGATGTTGTCAATCTCACCCTCATTGGAGATAAACTGATCACTGTGGTTCAGCTGACAGGATCTGGCACCAGGGACCAGGACATCCCCAATGCCTTTAGCTCACCTTGTGTAATCCCAGAAAAAAGCATATGGCAGGCAAACAAGTGAGCTGGGAATACAAATTCCAGCAGGCAGCTCACCACCTTGTAACCACAAGACAGCTCACCACTGTCTCAGGTATTTGCAGTGCATTTTCTAATGAACACAGCAATGAAACATGTCAGTGAAAAAACCCTTACTTCAAGGTAGTTGCTTCATGTGTCTAAATCTACTGGCCAGGATTTGCAGTGGTAAATAATTCTTCCCTTCCCAGCAGGAAGCTCTGGGTCACCTGTATTACACAGAATATAGATCTACTGAAACAGCACTGAGAGACACCTATTCTGGGAACCCTGGGGAGGAAACCATGCATTTTTGTTTTGAACAGCTGCGTGGCCAGCTCTAAGCTGTCTGTCGCCTTGCCCCACCATCTGGAAAAAGTCTGTGGTCAGAGCTTGGGAAAGCAAAACTGGACTTTAGAAAATGCATGACCATCTTCTGAGAATGCGAAGGTTCCCAGAGCAGTCTCTTCATTCAAATTTCAGGACCACTTACTCAACATGTTTCAGCTTCCACGAGGAAGTACAGCAAAAGAAGTTGTCTTTTTTTAAAGCAGCTGTTTATCATCTCAGCGCAGCATCCAGGATGCTCCAGTTGGAAAGCAACAAAACTGGCAGGGTAAAGTCAACCACCAGGGATGCTGTATGACTGAATTTTAATAGCTAGCATTGTATTGCAAATAAAAAGGTATTATATAATTTCTCTACTTTTCATAAAGCACAGCTATGATCTGCAGTTGTACCTGATGCAAATGTAACATACAACAAAATAGCAGCAAAGCATCTATAAAACCCCAACATCCTGAGAACTGGAGAAATTCCCCAGTCTGAAAGCACCTTTAATTACATTAGTCAGCCAGCAAGATTCCAAGCTAGGAAGTAGGACTACAGGAAACTTTTGTGTTCCAGTAATCCCTGACTGACCAAGGTCAACATGTGGTTAGCTATTTTGTTAAACACAACACTAGCAGTTTTACTGATTAATCCCAAAATCTAGGCTCTGGGAACAGAGAAATACAAGGTGTCACTGCCACTCACTCCTGATAATCTTTTGGTGTTCAGGTGGAGCACAGAGAATTACAATATTATTCCAGTGGTATCCTCTGCTATACATCTATGCTTTCACCTGTACACTGACAAGTCAACACCAAAGTCCTTGATTCCAGTCAATGTCAACTACAGACTCAAATCTAAACTTGTGATTTAACAGCACTTCTACATTACTCAAGAACTATTGAATTTGCTGATCCCTGCATGGATTTGGAAATGAATTAGTGTTACATGATGTCGAGTCCAAACCTGTGTCCCTAGCTTAGGCTAAATCCATATTGATTTCAACCTGAGTACAACTGCTCCACAATTAAAGGGCTGAGCCACATGTTGCAAATTCTTTGCTAATCAGTAGAAAATGAATTCCTATTTCATTTACATCACAAATCCACCAAAATCCCAATGAAGCTCCCAGAAACCCTGGGGATATAATCTTCCTCAACAAAGAAACAAACTGTGTTTTAAAAAAATCCTGCTTTTTCAGCCAAATTCTCTAATCAGATATTTTTCAGTTAGACACTATCAATGGATAATAAATCAAAAATAAATAAAATTTTTGTCATAAGGCATCACACAACCCTTGATTAGATAACTCTGCAGCTGCATTAAGTCCTTCTTGCCAACAACCATACCTGTCCTGTCAGGCTCTTCATTCAATAGCTTAGACAACGCACTAAGCTGACGATAACTCAGAGGCTCTTTCATAAACTCTGTAGCTAGGTAAATTAAGAATTTGTGGTACAATGGCCAGAGGATTACATGGATTTAATTCACCATTTCCTTTGTTTCTCTTTCTTTAAGTAAAATTGTGGACTGAGGGCAAGTGTGAAAAAGGTTCTTGTTTCCTAGTGGACATAAGGACTTGACCTCCATGGGCAGGTTCCTTTTGCACAGATCACTTATGGCAAAGTTCTGCATGTCCACAAACTTCAGCTACCACCACATATGATACCATCTTTGCCTATGGAAGCTAACTCCCAGAAGCTCATTATCTAATGCTTCATTAGGTGCCCTGTGCTATTTCTTTCCTAAACAATGCTAGCTGTGATTTAGACTCCTAGGTTGGCATTATAGTTATCTGGGACCTGTATTCTTGTCAAACCACTTCTACAAAACAAGGAGAAATAAAAAAAAAAGAACTGAAGTTAGAGCTGAGCAAATACTAAACCAAATTTTCCTAAATGAGACTTTGGAGAAATGTTCATGACTCATTTACATTTTTCTGAGCTGTTGCCAAATACTAATGCCTTCTTCGGATCATTTCAAGTGAAAATATGCATCAACATTTTATTTGTATTTGAATTTTTTGATTGCAAGCACATCCTCAGTGAATTCCACCTGCTTTGCTACAGAACGAATATAATGTGCCTTGGATAAAGCCAAGCAAGAGGGAAAGGTAGGATTTCAGTAACTGCAACATGTAGCCATTAACTGTTTGCAGAGGAAAAATAAATTTGTGAACAAGGCAGACTCTTCATTTGGAGCATCTGTGCACAAAAGATCATAAAATTCAAAGCATGAATTAATCCTGGTTATATACTTAGCTTAGCCCTTTTAACATGAAAACATGAAGAACCACAGATGGGATGTTTATAACTGACATGTCCTGGTTCAGACCACAGGAGCTATTAAGGACCACGATATTTGGAATGTTCCCCTCCACTGGCCTTACAGGTCTTTTCTTCTACTCTGCACAGTCCTGCTGTGGGACAGCACTCCTCAGAAAATGGTGAATCCATAGTTGTTTTATGTTTTACAATACAAACTTATGTTTCACTGTGCTACAGTTTTCATTCCCAAGAAAAATAAAAATCAATTCCTGCACAGACACGTCACATTCTAACTACATCAGAACACTCTATGAAGTTAGTAGAGAAGTAAATGCTTGGGGTTTTTTAGAGGTAGGGGTGAAGATTTCATCTGCCTACTTCTTTTTCTTCAGCATTAAGGACAGTTTTCTGGCCTTATTAATATTAGAGAAAACTTTTTAAAGGCTTTCAAGAACCCAGAAATTCACATTACTCCTACTTTTCATTGTCAAAATAAAATGTTTGTAAAGGTTATGGAAAGCAACTCTGTCTCCAAGGAATAATAAAATCACATTTTTAAAGGTTCTTCCCTTTGTCTTATTAGATGAAGAACAGCTAAATAACTAAATGTCAAGCTTTGTAAAGAACTTTCTTAATGTTGAATGAATGATTCTTCAAATACTTAAAAAAACCCCTAAGATAAAAATCAGAAACCCTTGAAAAGATTAGTTTGTCATTACATACTATAAAACTGCTTTGAATGCCAAGATTTCCAGAACTGAAGGCTTTGGGATAGCTTTATGTGACAAGTGAAGCTTTCAGAATTTGTAAATTGTGTAAACCTAATCTTTCTTTTCTTTATTGTTCTCCTGGAAAATTCAGCAACAAAGCATATGTTACTGAAAACTAATAAGCTAAATGGGAAAAGGATTATTTGGTAATAAAGCCTGAAAAGTTATGGCATTTTGTTCCCTTGTCAACTCTGTGTTCTGCTTTATTTTTAATTCTATAATCTTCATTAAATATGAGTGATTTGTTATAATTTTAAGAACTTAGATCGCTTCTTTTTCATTTCCTGAGGCTTTTCCACCTTAATTGTGAAACAGCAATGTAACATTGTAAAAGATTTTCAAGCTTTCTGATGCTGTAATTGCTCTCTATTTGTGCATTCCTCTATTGTAAAAGTAATGAATTAAAATTAATAAATTATTACAAATTGATACACCAAGGCTTGGAGCTTTAGAGGCACCAGACCTTGCCTATGGATGAAAAACCAGAATCCATGATAGTTTGTGGATAGTGTGCTGGTTTTGTAGTGCAGAGCCCTCCCTTACCCAAAGGACTGTCAAGGGAAGCCTTACATGCTTCTCTTCACAAAGCTTCCTGGCATCAGCTCCACTTAGCCTCACTTAGGTCTCTTCAAGAGCTAAATGAATGAGCTCCAAACTTAATACCTCAGTGTCTGTGACAGACACATCTCCAAAGGTTGCTTCTCTTTCTTTTTTTGCACTTAATATACAAAACTTAGTTAATTATGTCACATCTCAGATGTTTCATGCCAATTCAACTTCACTTTTCATCTATAACGACACTGGATAAATGTATATGCTTGTGTTGCCAGAAGGAGATATATAAGATTTTTCCTTTGTAGCTTCATAATTCTATTTTCAATATTAATGTTGTACTCCAAGCAGATCAGTTGAAGAAATTAATCAGTGAAGGGAGGAAACATGTAAGGAAAATGAATTATGCACACAGGCTTATCCTCTGCAAGCTTAAGGAAAACAGCTAACTAAACATTGCTCCTGGTCAGGAAATTATCTTATTCATAAATACCAACTGAAATGTCATTCTTCCCCAAGGAGGTTTAGTTCTGGAAGGGTGATTGAAGGGCATGTTTCTGATACAACCCAAGCACTTCATCATGATCAACAACAGGTTAAATGGCTTATGCCTGACACCAGAAGCACACCCTGGCAACTGCTGGAGTGGATTTGAAGGATGTTCCCCAGAATTATCTGGGAATGACTAAACCTGCATGACCACACCTGCAAGAAACTATGACTC